CCTATGAAAATCAATTGCCCCAATTTCTTGGTCAATAAAAGCTTCTAGGACAAGGGTTTCTATAAGAGAGGCGCAATGAAATTAACTTCAAATTGGCTAAAAGCTAACAAGGAAAACGGTGCATTTTGACATTAACCGTATAATTCTTACTATGATAAGCAAAGCCTTCAATTTGATGCAAAAATAATGGATGACTTTTTACTAGACCTAATATGTATGTATCTATATATGCTGTATTTGTGTTTAAACTCAGTTTCCTATATGATTAAGACACTAGCATTCCCGAAATACTAAATTGTGGTGGCGATTTTTTATTTGGTTTTTCTGTTTTTTGTCTTTGTTTGAGCTGCAGCACACGTTTTCAACCATACATACGTACACATAGAAGTATATATACATTGATTTAGTTGCTACTTTGAGTTCTGCGGCTTATTTACTTGGTTAAAGTTCTTGGCGTATACTTAATTTACTACCCACCGAGTTGTTTTTTTTTTTTCAAAGCTTTTAATTTAATTTTTATTATTTTTGCATTGTTTTTTTCGTTTTTTTTTTAATATTTTTTATTTTTGTTTGTAATTTTAATTTTTATATGTATATATATAATATGTTTGTATATTTTTTAACTCTTGAATTTTTTTATACTTTTTTATTAATTTTTAAAATAATTTTTTGTAAGGTTTTCTGTCTAATGTTTGCAGTTTATCTGCATTCACGTAGCGTGTTTTTTTTTGTTTTGAAAAATTCAAGATTAGATAGCCGTTACGTTAGTATACGTTTATACACACACACACACAGCGCTTGCTAGCTGATTTTCAAATAGCCGTTTGAATAGCAAAAACAATAAGAACAACAACAACAACAACACGTATAAGAGGGCGTCAAACACTTGACACAGCAATTAAAAGCTGCCGTTGATAAAATAATAGAAATGAAAATATTAAAAAAAAAAATCAATTTACTAACGAATTCTTGCAGAACGCAACGAGGTTCCACTTTTTATCCAACACAATATACAATGTTTTTGTAAAATATAAATTTATAATTTCACACTTTCTAAAAATTACTATTTATTTGATAATTTTTGTCTTGAAAGTTTTTCAAAATTCTACAAATTTTGGCCTTTGAAAAATTCACTTTCTTCAAAACCTTCCACCCATAATTTAGACTTTCTAAAATATTTTCCTAAATTTTTCACTTTTCACCCATTTTTTTCAATTTATTTAAGATTTTTCACTTTTTAATTACACATCACTCAACGCTGGGATAAGTGTGTACGAGTTGTCCAACCGCTGAACGAAATTTGCACGCGTAGAAATAGTCAGGATGACCGTAGGATATGATTTCTCGAGTTTTATTTTATTTTTTGCATTTTACATCTTTCATAGATAGTTTGAGAAAAAAGATAGTTATCTATAGTCGCTCAACAGTGAAAGTGGTAGAATAATGTGTTGTAGATGGGAAAAGAAGTTCCACAACAGCAACGATTGGAAGCTTGCGCTTGCTTTGCTACTACATAATCCGCGCGCGTATTGTTTGCTTGAAGAAAGACTAGCGATTGAACGTGCATACGACCGACGACCGTGCCACTCTGCTGGCGTTCACATCACAGAGCAATACGACCGACCGACACACTTTCTGCACCGCGTTACGACTGTATGCGCGTTTTTTCGCATACAACAATATAACGCAACTGGAAGTCAGTCAATCGCAACGGCAAGTCGTGCCGAGCACCGAGGTATGCGCGTATGTGAGCTTAACTCCTGCTCCTACCACTCGAAAGTTAGCTCCACACGAGAAGATAATACAATTAAAAGCGTACGAGTCGGTGGTAGTTGTGGTCCACGCACGAAACAAGCAGCAGCCACGAGCCTCGAGCATCTCTCGACTTATAAACAGGCTAACAACGATTGGGTTGTCGAAAATTTGTTGACAAACGTACGGATTCGCTTTTGGTACTAACCACCAACAGCAGCAGCGGCAGCAGCCAATATTCTTGGGAGTATATGACAGTTGTTATGCGTTTTGTGTAAAGGGAATATGACAGAGAGGGCGTAAAGGTATATAGTCTCTCTCATTATAATTCTCTCCCGGTCTTACTCTCTCTCTCTCTCTCTCTATCTTTCCACTCCTCACTGTAAGAGTTGCTGCATTTAGCGAAAAGCTCATTTCGCCAGCTGAGCAGTTGATGAACTTTTTCGCATTACTTTATTAATATTCTAACAATGCGCCACATTGTGCTTACAAATAGAGAAAAAGTAAAAAAAAAAAAAAAAAAAAAAAAAAAAAATATTAAATTATGATACCGTAGCTATTATCTACTATAAGCTCGTACAACTTAAGTGGCGTATAACGAAGCGTTAAGGAAAATAATTCGACGCTGTTGATAATAAAATTCTAACCAACAACAACGATGAGCTTTGTCTGTTTGCTTAGCAGTTGTAGCCAAATCATTTAGGCACTCCACCACAACTGACGTGCAAATTTTCGGAAGGCTCATAAAAGCCCTCAGAAGCTTGGTATGATATATTCCATTGGGTTAAGGCATGTTAATCTGAAAATGCAATCAGAAGTCATAAAGTACGCGTGGAAAATGTCATGAAAGGATGCGACGGTTATATTTGAATATCTTACATTACATGAAGTCTCACATATATGAAGTGAAAATGTAATATAAATAATTTAATTGTCTAGGCAAATCAATGAAAGAGAAGACGAAAAAAAATTCTTTGAATTAACATTTATCACATTATGTGTTATTGTTATCTGACAATGCGCCTAAATATAGGCAATATTTTATTTGCATCATTTTATTGCTGATACGCTAATCAAAAGAATAACGTTGCCTACATTCAGGATGATTTGGTAAATGTTCGAACTCTAAAATTCGACAATTGGGTGGGGAGGCTTTATAATTAAACTTATTAGAAGTTTTTTGCCTTAAATTAGTTCCAGCAGTTTAATATCACATTATTTGGTGTGTACTAGGCCATGTTTAATTTTTTCGTTATGTTGATGCATATGAAAATTATGTTCATTTTTCATTGCCTACACTTAGGATATTCCTTAAAAAATAAATTAAAATCCAAAAAAGGAGCGCACAATGATAAAAAAAACGTTCGGGTTATAATGAGCGAATATTTCTTTCGAAGTTAGCCTTTTTAGCTGCTGTCATAGTTTGGTTTGCCATTTCCGACATAACGTTTGAAAATACGCATTGTTTGATGTGATTTATGTGCAGAGGGGATCACAGTACCACACACTTTTTCAAGCCTGAGTTGGAGGATGTTGATGTTTATCTTAAGGATCGGGGAATGGATGGATGTTTATTAATTTAAAATAAGGGTTTTGAAGTATTAATTAAAAATATATATAAATGTTCGAGCAGGTGAACTGACTGAGCTTAGTCTTTACTAAGTAAGAAAATTCAGAATTGCCTCTGGCCCATAAAAAAAATACAGAAATAGAGAGGAATTTTCTTTCATTTTACTTATTTTATTTATTGCAAAACAATTCTATAATCTGACAGAATCTTTATTTCAAAACAAACCCATATATTGTACATATACACAATCAGATGGGCCTTAAGTGTACATATATATAATACATACATATTTATGTTCTGCTGCTGAGAATAAAACGCATAAACAAAAACCTGAGAATGTGTGCCAGGAAGCTTTTACTGGGGTTGAGCGAAGAATGCTCGCAATTTTACATTTCTCCCAAATAAACGCTTTGATATTCTCTTTTGCGCTCTCCGAGAAAGTTTTGTTGTGTGTGAGAAAAGGGTGAGTGGAAAATGATAAAATCATACGAAGTAAAACCCTCTAATGACCAACTTCACACGTAAAATAAACATAATACGAAATACATATATGTATGTATGTATGCACATGAATGTACACCAAATTCCAACGTGAGGTAGGCCAAATTTTGTATTTGCCGCCCATATGGGAGAGTTGAGGGTGCATGCACCTGATATATTCGCCCAAAACAGATGTGGTGCGCAACGCTGCAGAAGCAACGCATAAAAGCTGCTGATTCACATGTCTCTTCGTCTTTCACCGCAGTGAGAAGCTTTTGCTTATATATTTATTTTAATTTGTTTTTTTTTACTATATATTAAATTTTGTATAATATTTAAGTGCATTCTACGTACATTGCATACAAAAGAAGAAGATTTTGGTTATTATAAGCGCGAATGAAATCTACATTTTAGAAAATTTCTATTAAAAAATAGTTAAAAAATTATATTTTAATTTTTATAAATTTTAGTTATTTTTTTTGTCTTTACATAATATATCCTAAAGATGTATTTACTATCGCGAAAGATAATTTCATCACGGTGTTCACACGGCCATTAATTTAGTATATTTAATTGCTTACATTTTATTATTTATTTTTATTGCGATTCCTTTAAGAGAAACACGCAAAATAAAAGCACACACGATGAAATCATCAAAGAAACGACAGCGAACAGACGCCCAGCCACTCAGGCAGACAATTTGCTTAAATATACATGTGCATACATATACACACCTAGTCTATGTTGTGGCGGCCATTATATATAAACAAACATTTGGTGGCTTTAGATATTTTCCTAACGCCATCAATACACTTTAGAAAATATTTGCAAAACCTGCCAAGGCTGGTGGTAAGTGCAGCAAAAAGAAAGGCAAAAAAAAAGAAAAAAAACAATACAAAAAATATTATTAATAATTCATAGGAAATGTGATACAATTAATGGGTTAGTGAGAAACAGGCAAATGAGGGTGTGAATTATTTACCATAGCATTCGTTGAAATGTGTGAAAAATGCTAATAAATACTTGCACTTATAACGCAAGTGAAATAATACATTTTAAGTATATAGTTGAAAGCTTATTGTTGCCAAATAACGGTATATTTCATGTAGATCGCCAGTTGAGTAAATTCTTTTGAAATTAAGCCTTCGGATTTACTTCTCATCGCTTTTTCTTTGGAATTGAATATCAAATCACTTACCTTATTGTCACTATCTGTCGTATTACCGGAGCCGAAACTGGCCAATGAGCAACGATCATGATCGTTCTCCGTCAATGGTTCATCTAAATCACGCGATGAACGTTGTGATGAGCCAGAATTTTTGGCTGGCGATTTAGGTAAAGTAAGTGATGTGCCGGAAAAGCAGGTTTCTTGCATAACTTCACGCATTTTCTTAACCCAAATCTGGAAAAGCGAAGAAAGTTGTTTCAAAAAAAGGTGTAAAAAATAATATGCATTAACAAAAGAACTAGATGATAAATACCAATTTCCTTTCTTAAATCAGCTATCTGTTTCTTATTATATGTTAATAACAATAATTCATGATCTGTTAGATATAAATTACTTCGCATTCACGTGCAGTAAGATATGTATATGCAATCTCTGATTTTTTTTTTCAAAATTCGTTAAAAAAAATTATTTTTAAAGAAAGCATTTTAATAACATACTAATTTATTTCGTTGAAGGTCAAATTAAGCCATATAATTAGAAAAAAAAGATGGTCGCGTTCAAATACTGGTGCGACCAATATCCAGGATTTGAAGAAAATTAATTTATATGAAACATTTAGTTCAATTTTCTAATTGCTGTCGCCCCTCGGCAGGGAATGTCAACCCCTCGGAGTGTTATTCTGACATGAAAGTCAAAAGCTCTACATGACAAAACACTCAGCCGGTCGGATATAGCTTAGCTGAATTGTAGGTACCTCCATTTGTTGGAAAAACATCAAGACGCAAAACCACAAAATGGAGGAAGAGTTGGGCCGAAAAACGCTCTAGTGGTATTAAGTTTTACTAAGAAAGACCAAATTCTCCTACTTTGTTAAATCCGTGATCCAGCCTCTTTTCTTTTTCCAATCTTTCCAAAACTTAATTTCTGAACTTTAAACTATCTTATATGGCTTACTTTAGTCTTTAAATCAAATGTTTATTGTGCTCACCTGTTTGGTCTCCAAACTATTTGCCTTTAAGACAATGCGACAATCAGAGAGCATTGGAGAGCGGCCAGTCCATACAGCAAATTTAGTTTCATCGCCTTCAATATGTTCGGTGATGCCCATATCTGCGAGAAATAACAAAAAATTTACCATAAAAAAAAAAAAATTTTATAACAACAAATCCCACTAACCAGTTGTCATGAGTTTGCTCTTGAATTGATATTTCACAGAACCATTTGAGTCCTTCACCTCCTTGGCAAAGAGTAAATACAATTCGAATAAGAATACACGCCGCTCTCGTCCTTTACGTATCAATTGTTTCGTATCCCATGCTTGGAATGCATCTTGCAATACCACCTCACCCAAATTATCAATGGGCACATCACAGTTCTCCAACAACGACAAATGCATTGCATCATTCGCCTTCTTCGGTACATTTAACATAACCTCCAAACCTTCTTTAATTTCACCATGACTCTCCTCACAACAAGAGAGTAGATCTTTGAGTAATAACTGGTATTTCGTTATACGTTGTACAGGTTTAATGAGAAACGCTGGTAGCGGATGTTCAACTTTGTGTCGATGTTGTAGCTCATCAAAGTAGGTGCCCGAATGTTGTACCATTAGATTATTTGAAATTGGTTTATTTTTACAATAATACACATACATATCGAATTTGGTGGCCCAAGTGACGAAACAATGTCCAACATCTTCGGGCATAGTTTCGTACTTTTCCAATTCGCGTAGAAATATTTTCTGATGGAAATTATAAATTTCACGTATATTGCCGAATAAGGTATCCTCCTTGCCGACCAATGCTGTTGGTACACCCAGACCTGTGCGGAATTCTTCAAGGAAACATTTAATACATGTCTCCAAGTCTTTCACATAGGTACGCTCCGTCTGCATTAGCTCAGCCATAATAAACTCTTTTCTACGTGCTGATTTACGTTTCTCTTCGTTAATTTCCTTTGATGCTGCTGTTGAGGATGTGGTGAGTTTGGCCTCTAGCGAGGGATCGGAATGGCGATCGGTTGTGGAGCCTTTAGACAAAATAAAAGTAATTATATTATTGAATCTATGATTAAGCATCAATGGAGTGAGAAGTAGCACGGAAGTTGAGGGAACAAGCTCAAATATTAATTCGTAAAACTTCATGATTCAATAATTAATAATAAGTATGCATAACATTAATTAATTTTAGAATCATGGTAAGACTTCATATATAAAATGGTGAAGTATAAAGCTTAAGAAGTTTAGTAAATGTTGGAGCTTTTTTCTTCAGATCTCTGTGCTGTTTGCCTTCATTACTTAATATTTTTCCAACCATACTTACCAGAAGCTGAGCTGATTGAAGAATTGGCGTCCGATTCAACGGGCACCGCCATTGACATGCCCAAGGACTTTTCCAATTGTTCTCTATAAGTGTCCATTCGATTGCTAAAGTCCTTGTATCTGTTAAAAGAATAAAAATACACATTTTAAATAACAGAAGTTATAATTACGTTAACGTTAGGCAACCCACCTTTGATCGACAGACGCCACCCACTGCTTGATAGCGCTAGCATGTGCATGCCCCTTCTCCACTAAACTGTCGGCCAACTGTATTAGCAGCTTGACACGTTCACGTGTCTCCTTAGCAGTACCGCGAAATTCGTTGTGCTCTTTGAGCAGACCTTCGGTCTCTTCGCGCGTCTTGCCAACCAAATTGGTGCGTGACGAGAGGTAAGCCTCGCCGGTGTTGTGTATCCACTCGATGGCCTGTTTAGCGCTGCGTTCGAAAAGTACAAATTGTTGACATTGATCGAGCGACTTTTTGCGTTGTGTCCAGAATTCGAGCACCTGATTTTCTTGTGTCAACAACTTGTCGAGTATGGTGCGTACATGCGTTTCGCAGTTGCCCTGCATTTGGTATTTGTAGTACTGTTGCGAACGATTGGCGTATTTGAGGAATGTTTCGGCGGTACGACGTGCGAGTGTGCACGCTTTGAGGAATGCCTCCTTCTGTTCCTGATGCTTTGAAATTAGTTGCACAATGGTTTGAGCTTTATCACTGGAACCACCACCGCCACACCAATCGTCTTCGCGACGGTACTCACGCTCTAAACTATCGAGTACGGAGCACACCTGCTCGGCGGTTTTATAGAAATTCATTGAGGCCGTAACAAGTTTGTGACGCTCCTCGGCATAGGTGACCAACTGTTGCCACTTCTTGGTGACATCGTCGGATATTTCACGTATCGACTGGGGATCATAGTGATTGGCATTGATGAGTGCGTCAGCGCGATATTTCACTTGCACAGCGGAGGTGTGTGTCTTCTCTATGGCGACCTAAAGAAAAGAGGAAGTGTTCTTATATAATTGTAAATAGTTTATAATTTGGTCACTGTAGGTAATCCCACCTGAAATTGTTCGTGCTCCTTACGCAGCTGTTCTGCTTCCTGCAAACTATTAGGCGTAACAAAACTGGCGACCAGCATTGCTTCGCCATTGCGTATCCACGAGATGACTTGATTGGCATCATTTTGAAACTGACACAACTGTACAGCTTGCTCTAGTTTAGCGCGTTTTGCTTCAGACAGTTCCTCTAGGTCCATTTCCCGATCACTCAAAAAGTCCAAGAGTGACTGAATGCGCGCCTGCGCTGTATGTGTGGCATCAGCCATCGAAATGATGCCAGCCGTCTCAAACATTTGCAGTAAATCTTGACCCTGTTGGAGGATCTCGTAGGTGGTGTTTTGTATATCAGTTACGGAATCGTTATGCATGCGTATCAACTGTTCAGCTTTTTGATAGTCACGCGACAAGTCGGCATGCTGTAACTCTTCCGACCAAATTTCCAATTGTGATGATAATTCCATGGCGTCACGTTCGAAATAACGCAGTCGGCGTATGAGATCAGCACGATATTGACGCGCTGACCACAACTCCTCCAATTCAACTTTCTGTTTTGTCAACTTCTCTAGTGTTGTTTCGAGTCCCGATATGGAGACGCTATTTTCGTCATATTCGAGTGAGCGCATTTCCTGCAAGAGCGCTTCTCCCTGTGCTATGGTCTGCATACAACCTTTAAGCGTGCTTTCTTGCTGTTCACGAAATTGTTGCAGGTGTCGCTCAATGCCCTCGAGATTCTCTTGTGAGAGCATAGTTTGATCAGTGGAAACATCGGTGCGCAATTGGTCAATCCAAGCGGTCACCTCCTTCTCGTGTGTATAAAATATAACAGCCATTTCCAAGCGTCTTCGACGCTGCTCCACACGTTCAGCGAAACTGGCAACCTGCAACTCCAGTTCCCGTGCGACTGAGTAAATCTCATTGGGATCTGCCTCGCCACTACGTGCCAACTCATCTGCAGCTGAAAGTAGCTTCTCTGCATTGCTATAAGTGTTCTGGGCGACATTTTCGAAATGCTCATGTGACTTTTGGTAGACGCGTGCCTTCTGCAGATTCCGCCCAATACCGGTATTTTTGCGCAGAAACACTTCCCCGTGATTCTTTAGCCAATCTAGCACCTGCTTCACGTCCTCTTGGAAGAGACGTAGCGCCAATGTTTGATGCAAACGTATTTTTTCCTGATGCCACTTCGCCTCCAACGAGCGATGATGTCCGAGTATTTGGTGTATGACGGCGAGCACGTGGGAAGCGCCCTCACTGTAGTCCGCAGCCGGATTCTGTCGTTCGTATTTATTAAAGCTACTGTTCTTGCGGTGATCGGGCACACCCGGCGGTGGCGGTTGGTTGCACACCTGCACGAGGTGATCCAATTGGTAAAGTAGTTTTTTGCTGGTTGAGTGCACCTCCGTATAGGCCTGACACATCGCTTCGTAGAGTGACTGATGAGTTCGTATTGCTGTCTCCAGACTTTGTATATCGAATGGTAGCGGCTGTGATGCTTGGCATGCAGCAGCCCATGAGACTACGCTATTACAATACTGCTCGGCTTTGTGGTGGAAGAGTACGCTCAGTTGCAATACGGCTGTGCGTTCATCCAGCCCAGCAGCAAAGTCTTTCCAAGTGCGATCGAGTCGTGTGGCCAATGTTTTAATATGCTGCGCGGCGTAATGCTGACTTTCGATGAGGCGTGAGGCCACCGCCAGTATGCGATCAATATTAACTGAGACATTCATTGAGGCCACAGCGAATTTCTGATGCTCATCCTGCAACGATTTGGCAACAGAATAATTATGTCCGATTTCAACATACGACATCTGAAAGACATCGCGATTGTGCAATATCCAATCAAACATTTTCTCGCAGTCCTGTTCGAAGAGCCGCCACTGAAAGCACTGATCCAGTTTGGACTTTTTATGCTGCCACAAAGTGAGCAGACGCTGTTGCCCGTTACGAATGAGGTCCACCTGACGCAATGCTTTATTGATGGCCGCAGCCATGTCGGGATTATTGGTGGCAGCACGAAAAGCCGGCGAAGAGTTTTGTGTTTGCGTTGAAGTACCAGAATCGCTGCCGCCACAATCAGCGCCGGGGCCAACACAGGGCTAAAACAGATAAGATATAATTAAAACTTATTTTTACAAGTTGATAGTTTGGTTTATTTTTTGTTTTCCACTCACCTGCCTGCCCGGCACACCACCGCCGCCGGCGTTCTTATTTATTTTGGCCAGCAGTTTCTTGCTTTGCAATTCCAAATCTTCAATTGGTAGATTTTGTATTTTCTTCTTCATTTCGTTGTGATGATCGAGTGAATGCTTGGCGCCATTCACATCTTCGGCGAAGTCATTGCGCTGCAAGTCCTCCTGCAGATCGTCGATGCGATCGGCCATATCGCTCGCTTGCCAAAAGAAATCTTCAATCGCTAAGCGCGATTCAGTCCACTGTTGATGATCGTACGGCTGTGTGCCGTCAAAATCGGATGTCAACTGATGCGACTCGGCAATTTTGTGTAGCGCTTCGATCGATATATTCGATGTTTCAAATTTATATTTATTTGTCGATATAGAAGCTCGCTGCTTCTGCCAGAAGTTATCCGGTTTAATGAGTACAACGTTGTGTATGTTGGCGCTGAAATGCTCCTGCAGTACTTTGAGTATTGTCTTTAGGTTGGTGGAGCAATTGCCATTGCCTCGCATATCAATGATAACCGTGAAGCCGAGGTTCTTCGCCGAGTCGCTGTAGGTAAATAAGAGTGAAAGAATTGAAAATTGGTGAAATTAGTTGTGAGCCAAAATAATAATATAATATATGTACATATGTGTTTTTGTTATGTTGTACTACAATAGAAACGACTACGATGACGAGCGTGTAGCGAATTGAGATCTGTGGGGAAAGTGGGGTGGAGAGCGGCTAAGCGAACGTGCGAATGGGTGAACGTGAACAGGTCGTAAATAGTGAAGAAGCGAAAACACACCACACGACACGCCGGCGTGGAGCTAACTTAATAAGTATGTACATATGTAACTAACATATGTGTCAGTATGTATGTTTGGGCTCAATGAGGCAATGAACTGCGACATGGGCAGGCGCAGCAGCGATTGTTTGAAGTTTGCATAAATTACGATTTTTACGATGAATTAATATGCTGACACAATTTCTTTTCATTAATTTCCATATAATAGTAGTTTTTGATAAACAAGGTGCATTAAGAGACAGAGATCCAATAGATATCATTTCGGAGATGATACAGTGAAACCTAAAAAAAAGTCATTTTATATTATAACCTCTTATTTGATTTCCGATTTGTGGTGAAAGACGCGCTAGTTCACTGCAATCTCTGAGCAATGGTTAGCATTTCAGTACATGACCTTCCGGCCACTCATATAGTTGTTGTTGCTTTTCTTTAACCCCGCACCGAGTTCAGGGAACATACAAAGAGCTCGATTGTGCTGGATATTCAATGAATGTGTTATATAGGTTTCAAGTATAGACAGGTAATAGCTAAGTCTGCTCCAGTATCTAGACCCCCAATTGCTTGAAGAATCCTTAGGGGAAGCTCAAACAACTTGTCTTCAATGGTTGATCGTTTAATTCGATCACGCTAAGAGGATTAATGAAATAATTGATTTACCCTTTTTGAATGGCGCCTATCTGTACAACCACGCGTTTGCTATGGTTCTGTTACTATATGGACGCCATGCTCCTAATGTGCCACGAATATCGTTCGACAGTTCCTCGTTGCAACCCTACGCCACTTCACAGTAAATAATACCTGCAAAGCTGTACATTAACCTTTTTTTTAGCGGGAAGCATGGATGTCCCCAAATAGTGTGTTGAAAGGTATATAGCTTCGGCATCCACATTTCATTAAATCCCTCCAACCAGATCAGGGTAGCGTCGATCAGCCGCCTGATTACCTTGTGCGATTGTACGAGGAATGAAGCACAGGTTGTCGCTTCCGGTACCTATCGCGCACTGCTATGCCATCCGAGAGGTGTCAAATAGAAGCTTTGCTTTGGCAGAATTAGTGTGGTTGGCGATGTCAAATATGCTTTTCAATAAAGTTTGATGCTGGTTTTGATATTCTGAAGCTTTTGAACTTTGAATTTGGTTCTCAAACCATCTAAGAGCATGAAAACAGTTTGCTTTAAGGAATATCCTGCAAAATGTTGTTGTTTAATGGTCATTTTAGGTGCATAGAACAATAGAGTTTGATCTGGATACTAAAGTCGCCTCAAATCGCAAATGACCTAGACTTGACACTTGAGACACAATGAGTTCCCAACTCATCTATAACTCTTCTACCTCTGCTCCGAACGCATCGAACCTTTCCTTAGATGATCTCGAAGACAAATACTAAATTTACATGCTTCTATGCGAGGTTGAGCAAGCCGCTACACTACAACAATAGTGATTTGCATCGAGATATCGAAGTTAGTTGGACCACTTCTAGAGTCCTATCACTGAAGGAATTTCCAGCTAAAACCACCTCTAAATTTGCAAAATATAAGAAAAAAAACTCATAGGCAATATGCTTAAGGATCTTTCCAGTCCAAAATATAGTCTTGAAAAATGTGTGGGTCATTTTATCGGCGGTTTACTGTTTTGCTGAAAATTTCTCAAAGAAAAAAAAAAGTTGTTATAAAACTCTGATATTATTGTCACTGCTATGAGTTTTTTCTCTATTATATTTAAAATATTTATTTATTAGTTAACCACAAACCACAATAAATAGATACATACATATGCACATACAAACATACATATCTCAACTTTTTCCAATGTGTTGTTTTGAATGCATAATTTGAATTCGATCAAAGCCGTCAAAATATTATACATACATATATACATATATATAAATATATCTACATACATTATGTATGTACTAAGAACCAGGCGCACGCGTCTGTTGCGTCTGTCACCAAACTTGATTCTTTTGGGAGTAGACGATGGAGCTTTAAGTGACGTGGGTAATGCACAAATGAATATTGTACGATCGGTCTTTGTTCTTTTTTTTTTATTATGGACATAGAAAAGTCGTCGGCACCTTATAGGGGTTATATAAAGTAAAAGTAAAATAAATACGTGTTATATAGGGTGTTGCGATTTGGGGTATGATTGTGTGTATGTAAGAAAATAATTATGTTTATGGTTTTTATTTTTATTTTAATATGCACCCATCACTTAGCGCTAAATACAATAGCAGCTTTTTCGTTATGATTTTCAACTTTTAAATAAAAATAATTAAACAAAAAAAATTATATATTTAAATAATTTTTATTTGCGTTTCCTATATTTATCACATGTTCATTCAACGCCTAATTAGGTGCATGCAATTTTATTCAGTCGGAAAAATTGTGGTAAAAGAGCAAATGTAAAAATGTAGGTTCGTATTACTCAAACAACGCCTGTCTATTTCCGGTGCCATGAACCACAATCAATAAATAAATATATATAAACAATTCACAACAAATTTACGATATTCGACACCAAAAGCAATTCACACACACATACACATACACACATAAAGAAAATCACAAAGACTTTGCTATAGCCCTGCGGGGAAGAGATAAACTAGTATAGAAAAAATTCTAGTTAGATACTAGTATGTGGAAGATGAAATTATACCAGTTGGTTATTTGTTCAGCAGTTTACTCCAAGCTAATACAATCCATACAAATAATATGGTACAATTAACATTGAGAGGCCTAAGGCTGGACCAGATACTCAACCGCTACATAACATCCGAGTAATCCAAGGAGTACATAGTTTTGAAAGTAATCTACAGAGATACCCCATGGAGTACGTACAGTGGATTACATTACGGAATATATAAGAAAAATTACAATCTTAGTTTCGAAAACAATTTGTTTAGGACAAAATATACATCCTAGCATAATATTTTAATAAACATTTAAATTAATATTTTGCTGTCAATTTATTCTCCATTTGCATTGGAATATAGATATGTATATGCTCATGCTTATGCACGTCCTCTATGTAGCAGTAGAGCTCACCAACGAAACGAAACAGATTCAATTTCAGCTCATTCTACGTAACAAAAAAAAAATCTTATTTCGCACATACATACATACATATTCGTTGAGTAATTGCGATCGCTAAAATACGAGCAATCATCGGCTAACAACAACGTGGTAGCGAAACATGAGTTGATCCATTAGTTAACTACAAAAGAATACCTATTGGATTACTCCCATAATCTTCTTCACCATGTGTTGTCGTTACATCTAGCAGGCCACGGCTAATTTCAATCTCAGTGAGGCTTTGTTGAAGTGCGGAAAGTTACTTTAGTCGCTCAGCCAACAAGTTAGCAGTGTGGTTAGACACTATCTCTGTGGATCGTGTGGTTCGTGAGGTTAACATCATTCGAGTCTAGCGGCAGGCAAATTCATTTTTTCTTTTAATTTTTGGTGAATTAGAATTTGTTGTTTTCATTTTTTGTACGCCACGACGTAGTTTCATTTCCTAATGAGCTCTACGGAGGTATGCAGATCTCGTAATCTCTACATAATAACTATATAATCGCGGTAAGAAGTTGTCGCTGTAGCCCAAGAGCTTCACGGTTCGAAACTCACTGCAGCCAAAATCATTACTAATATTTTTTTTTTTGGTAAAGTCTAAATGAACTAGTATACAACTGGTATAAAGTTGATGCATAGTCGAACATTTCCCACTTCGTTAAAGATACCAGTTGTTTACATGGGAAATAGATGGAAGATGAATTAGTAAGTGTAAAAATGCTAACCAGTTGGATTCTAGTTACGAACTAGTATTTTTCCCTGCAGGTAGCCTGTGCAAATAATGTACTCCTTTCAGCCGAAAAATCAAATAAATAGAGGTCTGTGAAAAAATAACAACAAAATTCTAAACAAAATTACCAAAATACTATATCAAATAGAATATATATGTAAATGTCTGAGAACGTCTTTTTGTGTAATTGTGTTGTGTTGAGTCGATTGCACACAAATTGCTGTACGCGCGCGCTGATAAGCGACAGATTCATTGTGGTCATACTGGCTGCCGAATCGAGTTGAATTGCTTGTCGACCGACGACGCTGATGACGATGCTTTGAGAATTTGCTGATAAGAAATGGTGGCGTCTGTTTACAAACTGTGCGTGTGTAGGGAGATAATTAGGCAGGGGGTATTTTCAAAGCGGCAACGGTTATGGCGGCAACAATAAAATGCACCATTTAACACTGACAGTTGAGTTGAGATAACGAGAGCTTCTACTGTTTGATAAGGCAAAAATGTTCTAAAACATGGCTGCATTCTTTATGCTCGGCATGTGTTTAAATGCGGTAGTTGCCGAAAAAGGTCACGTTTTTCTATGTCGATAACGGCGTAATATAGATAACAAAAAATATAGTAAATCGACGTGTGGCAGCGAGATTCGAAGAGCATCAGCCAAAGAAATGATCAGACATTTTCGAAAGCCTAATCAAGCTGAATTCACTTACCGTTTGGGGCAGAGGAGGCTAGTCTAGGTCATAGGGAGAACCAAGAAGCGGGTGGAAGTGTCGTACGAAGCCTTACTTCATGCAAGACAAACAGTGGGTATGTTGGGACAAGTGTGGATAAGTAGGAGTTTACTCTCGGGGCAGCTCGACCTCTTCGTCTTATAGGTGGTAGCTTGACTCCGAGAACATCATTCACATGGACTATTGCTGGTTGGCGTTTAATTCTTGCCTGTCCTGTCCAGCGGTTGTTGTAGATGTTGCTAAATACAGTCAATTAGGTCGGGTACTCTCTCTTTCTGTTGTTGTTGTTGTTCTGCCGATTCGCTAACCCCCTTAGGGACAGGCTAATTAATCTAACTCACCGATGTCTTCTAACGGGGGTCCAGTGAACTGTGTTGTTTCGACGGGTTCGGAACAGAGGGAGAGGGGTTTAGATGCGTCGGTGTCAGGGAGCATTTAAAAAGGTAGCTAGCGTCGTACAGAGACTCTCTACATGCAGAACATATGTTGAGTATGTAGAGTAGAGTCTGTGTTATAAGTAGGAGATTAACCTGCTATGGTATCCAGAACTAAGTTGTCCCAGTATTATGCGGGTCTCTCAAGCTCTTGAAGGTTTTAATTGAACGGCATTCACTGCCTGTTTGTACGCGGCGCTGTCCAGCGGTTGTAGAATGTGTTGGTGAATGGTGCCTTTTAAGTGTAGGACTCCCTTTCTGATGTACCTGGGTGGGTGGTGGCCTATTGGGGTATTCCTTGCGGTAACATCCCAATACGAATAGCTCGTAGCATACATATGTAGATGTTTCATCGTGCAAATGATGCTTCGGCGACATCAGGAGGTTTCCTGTCGCGCTCCTGAGGGCGGTGTTCTGGCTGGCATGTAGCTTCTTCACCGAGTCTCGTTCGTCCCCGGTGTCGATGCAGTATAGTTAACGACCAGCCGGTCATTTGCCTTATAGGTTGCCAACAAGTTTTCTTTACCTTCTTCCCAGGTGCTGCCGGCTAACACTTTGGAGATTTTCTTGCGACTCTGGAGTTTTGCGGCAATTGCAGTCGTATGGGGAGTGAAGAAGTGCAGGCTGTTGGGTTGTTTATGATCGGATTTTTTACGTCATTGGCCTTCACATCGAGCTCGAGCCTGGTCTGTTAAAGATGGTAGACGAGGATTTTGCTAGTTTAAGTCATGTTAGTCAGAATGAGAGTCATGCTGCGGAGAGCTCCGTGAGACCTTGGAGGTCTACCAGAGTGGATAAAGGTGCTGAATTAACTACGGTAGAGGCTGTGAAGCTTTAATCACCTCATCCTGCCATTTCGCACTTAATTTCACTTATTCCTTCAAATTTTGTTCAGCTTACAACATCTCTGTGATATTGTCAGCCTATGTTTTTCCTTTGACATTAAGCAGACGCAGACGCATGCCTCTTAATCAATGTCTTTTGTGCCCTTCTCACAACACTTCGAGATGGTAGTCTATGAAGGCTCGCTTCCAAATATACTTTTCATGGCGTTCGCTAAGCCAGCCCGGAAATGTAATCTAACTCTAGTTGACTTTCAGATTTAATCCCAAGAAGAGAAATGATAATTGTTAGATAAAATCCCTAATATTTGTGGTCACCGCCCGGAGTCAATAATCCATATGAAAGTATCTTTTTCATTTACGTATTTCAAAAATAAATATGTACTCCTGTACTAATAAACTAAATCATTCATTTCGACAGAATCTTTTGTAGTAAAAACACTTCAGTCTGCATACACGTATATACATAAATACTATAAATATTTACACAACCACATATGCAAAAATGTGGCAATGGGAGCCAGAATAAAAATGAAACTGGTCTCACACTGTCCACTGCATGACCTTCTTCAAATGGTTGGCTTTCAGCTGTTGTTACGCCGTGACATATCGAAATAAGTAGGAAAGGGAGAGATTGGAATAGGTGTTCAACTACTGAGTTTAATTTCCAATAACTTGCATTGTGGCGGTGGAGGTATGGGCTGTTTTCGACCCAAAAATTAGCGCCATCTACACTGGCCTTGAACAGCTTCGATTTATTGTAGGGTATTTTATATATTTAGCTGTTTACATACATACATATCTACATACACATATGTGTGCATAAAAAGTCATATATCATTCGTATTTTTGTATTATTACGAATGTATTTATGCAAACTTGTATGCACATATGTACATGTACATGCATATGTGGGTTTGTATGGAGGTATTTTCAGCGCTTATGGATTTCCTTAGAAATTTATGCCACTGTGTTTTGGCACTGTGGTCGACGCCGAGAATTGACAATGATGTTTATGATGCCAGCGTAGTAGGAGGCGTTGTTCGAGCCAATGCTATATGAGTTGGGCATGCAAACAAGCAGGCAGGCTGGCAATAACGTCGCCAAAGCCGCGTCATTTGCCGCTGTTACATTCAGTCACAAAACGTCGACGACGTCGCCGCCACCAGCGTCGTTTTCCTCATTTTTATCGCTCGCTGTTGCTGTTACTGACGCCGTCACCTTCTCCAAAGTTGCCTCAAGTCTCGACAATTCCTCGCAGTGTGCTCCTCCATTGCTGCTCTTTGTCTTTTAGATTTATTTGTTCTGTTCTTGTTGTTTTATTCCTTCGCTTATTTTGCGTAATTTTTCATTTGGACTTTTTTTTCGCTCATTTGCTGTACAAATGTACATATGTACATACATACGTTGGGGCTGCCCGATTCTTTTTTTTTATTTGTTGTTTTGGTTGATTTTTCTTTTATTTTCACATTTTATTTTTAATTGTGCGTTTTGTTGGGGCGTTGCGTGCAGTCACTATGATGTTCCTAGTTGCTAGTTTTGTTCGACTGTAGTTTTCGTTCTTTTTTATTTATATTTTTTTAGTTTTATATTTTTGTAGTTTCCTTATACGTAAGTTAATGTATTCGACGGTGGCGAAGCCTCTTTAGAAGGCTTTCAAGTGACAATATGTTCATGTAAATATTTTTGCGTTGTTTTGGATGAATTTTTATGCATTTCATAATGCTTTTATACAATAATTCGCTTTTGTTGGCGAGTGACAGTTTTTTTTTTTTAATTATTATGCAAGTCATTATTTTTTAAACTTTTTCCTTCTAAAATGCACACTTGTGCGAGGTAACTTAAACAAAAGCAGCGCATGTACGTTTGCACATATGTACATACATATACTATACACATAAACTAAAATATAATTGCACAAAGGTGTGAGTGTTTATTCCATACCGGCTGCGACACCATATGGGCGCAGGTTGCAATAAGCCCGAAGCCTTGCGATTTCGAGTCCATAACGCATAACACTTAGATGAATCATGCCAGTAAGTGCAAACCACGCTTACACAATACATTTCATGTTCGCAAATATTTCCCTACCCAATCTTTTGTACAAAAAGTGGATAGTGGTAGCTAAGGTATAAGTCCAAAAGAGAAAATACTTGCGAAATGTAAGAGTAAAACAACAGAGTGAAGTAAAAAAAAAAAAAATAAGAAAGAGTAAGCAAATAAATAAATTACATTAACTAAGATGAAAATTTTATTCATGGAATTATTTATGAGCCAACTGCATTATTATTACATATGTAAATACATATACTTGGATGTATGCATAGATATAGGAGGTCTCAATTCAAAATGAATGGCTAAGGTGATCTGCTCAAATAACAGTTTTAACTTCATACCTTGGTATCATGATCAAATAACTCAACAAACGCCTCAAATCCTCCGGTTTGAGTCGATCACGTTTTGGTGTTGCTGGAAAGCATAATAAGGGACCGCCACGTCTATCACGTCCACCCGTGAGGCATACAACACGCTCCTGTAGTAGTGTTAGTATATCCCGAGCCCTCTGTCCGTCCATATTTGTTGTTGATTTTTTGTTACACTCGAGAGTTGATTCAATTTTTAATTATCGATTTCACAAAATTGTTTTTGTTCTTTAGTTGCCTATTGGTTAATCAATATTTTTGTTCACTTTTTCACGATTTTTGCGTTCAGCAAATGTTTTCTTTTTAACCGCCATTGTTGAACTATTATTAATAGTTTTAATCAAACGAATAAAGTAAAAGCACAAATTTTCACAAGAAACATAGTTAACTTTTCAGCAAAAATCTCCTCGACGTTTAATCGGTATGTGTTTTTCATTTAATTAAAGTTCCATTAATTTGTTTAAATGATAGATACATTTCTCTTTTCACTGTCCGACTTTATGCTTAACAAAACAATGTTTCTCTACGCTAATTATTTGTTAATTTGCATTGAGCAATCAATGCTCTTGGCGAAGATATTTCCGTTTACAATGCGTCGTCCACTGCCACCTTTGCGGCGATAGCTGCCCACAGTCAACGTTGCTGTCGCCGTCGACGTCCAACTGAGCAGCATCAATAACACCAACGACAACAGCACCACTTCAAACTTTTCACATTCTTTTATTTTGAATTGTGTTTTATTTTCATACTAAGCGCTTTTTGAACATTCTTTGTGTTATTCTTCATCTTCATCTTCAAATCTTCAACTACAAATATCCAGCTTTGGAAGTCATATAAAAAAGTAAAATAAGAAAAATGAAAACAAATAAAAATCACATCAACCAGAGATGAAAAAGAACTTTTTTGTTGTCGTCGACGCTGGTTGCGGCTGGCTGACTGGTTCACTGTCTGATTTTGCTGGTTGCTGCTAAACTACTTGCTTAAGCATTGCTTCTTCTTCATCCTCTTATTACTTTTTGACGATTTCTGTTTCGTCCCGCAATACTTTTACTCCTCCTGGTATTGCTGCTGCTGATGATGGTGGTGCTCCGCTGTTTTTTTGGTGTCATTGATTTTTTTAGAAATTTTACATAGCCGGGAAAACACTATTTCATCACGAACTTTGACACTTTTCACTCTTATTCACTAGTGTGCATAATACATATGTACTTTCCAATTGTATTTTATAAACTTTTTATCTATTTCTTATTAAAATTTACAAATTTTGCACGAAGATTTTGCTGCCCAATGCAAGAACGAAACGAAACAATTTTTTTCTCTTGAGTACTCTCCAAACTCTCCACTGTTGTCGATGACAACGAAAACAGACACAAATGAAGTCAAAGTAAACAAGCGTAAAAGAGCCGAAAAGGAGAGAGTATGAAGAACATGTGTATTTGAAAATTTAAATAGTTTGATGATATATGTGCAGTTTCGTAAAAAGTATCAACATCCTTTTTATCAATACAAAGTGTATTGACTAGAATTATTTATGTATATTTCTAAACTGAAATAACAGAATAAGGAATTAAAGCAGAAATCATTGTGTAGACCTTACAATGCCAGAAATTCGCTTTGTTTTCCTGCAAAAGAAAAATAGTGCAATCTTGATACTTTTTCAATGTTTTGTAAATTTTTAGAGTTAATAATGCAACTCTGTAAATATTAATTGGAGAGTTCGTTGAAAGGGAATGTTAGCCGAACGATAAATAGTTTTGCACATGAAATAGTTTCGTTCGCGTACAAATGTCAGAGTTTTTCTGTTAACATGAGATGGAGAAATTGTATCTAATTATAATATATACAAAAAAATTCAAAAAAAAGATGTTATGTACTGTTAACTGGTTTTAAAATTATTCAAAGAAATTTGAATTACTGCGAGATCATGAACTTTCAAAGAAATTCTTATTGGGACCAGCGATAGACTTGCGACCACTCTGTGCTTAGAGAAATGCATTTTATATCAGCTGTCAATTGACGACAAAATTTGACAACTGACGTTCTGGTTGCACTGAGCGTAAATATTTTTACAATTTTCACTTTATTTGTTTTTCACCAAAATTTGCAAAAATTCTACGTAAAATCAAATTAACCTTACAGCATCGTAAAAGAAAATCTAATCAGAAAACACAAAACTTAAGTGTCTATCCTGTAACTGTCACAACAGTAACTAGAAGTAAAGTGATTACATCGGTTAGGGAATTAAGAGACGACAACAAAAACCTGCCCACTATGGATACTAATATAAACCGTGTACTGAATCAAACTCTGCGTCATCCATTACACGGATTACTCTTCAAATACACCAATGTCATGAAAGGTATTTAAAGAAATGGAAAGTCGTCAAACAATAAAAATGCATAATGATATATTTACTCCATATAAACACAGGTTGGCAGTATCGCTGGTTTACGGTTGATGCACAGACAGGTACACTTAGCTATTATTTGTGTGATTCATCGTCAACTGGTGATGAGGCAACGCCATCACCACAAGTATTAGCTGGCGCACCGCGTGGACAAGTACATTTGGCAGGCGCGGTAGTCTGTCCGAGCGACGAAGATTCTCGCACATTTTCTATTGGATGTGCATCTGGCGATACATTGAAACTACGTGCCGCCGATGCACGTTCACGTCAAGAATGGGTTGATGGCTTACGTGCAGTCGTTGAGAGTCATACGAAGGCTATGGATATAAGTAACGCTTCAACATTGCCGCCACGTGAGTTGTTAGCCGCATCAGACGCAATGGTATCAGCGCGGCAAGCGCTTTACCTAACCGAACAGTGGTGAGTGATTTATTTATAAAATTGTATAATACATTATGTCTAATTGTTTGAAAATATTTCAGCAATGCCTCGCTAGCACGTACAATTGAAAATATTGATTGTACTGCGTTTTCACCAACAGATCCAGATTTACTGTTACTCAAAGCCCTCTCCACGGCAAGCACGCAATGTTTGCATCAGTGTCTGGGTCTTTTACAGCGACACGAAGAGACACATAATACCGGGGGAGAATCAGCGAGTGTTTATTAAGTGGGCATAAACCGAAAAATATCCTAATTCTCTTCCTTAAATATTTATTAAGGCATATTCTTTGTATTGCTTGCACATATTAATGCTTGCTATCATTGAAAAAATGTATATAGTTATATTTAAAGGTGTATGCTAACACGCAAAGCTTTTCGAACTGTGTATTCACTTTAAACATAAAATATATTATATTAAAAATTATTTTACCTGCATATGTATGTATAATATAAACATCTCAACTTTATTAAAAATAATTATTGTATTTGGCTATAGAGACATAATCATATATTTTATGTATTAAAAATTTTAAAGAATATTAAAAATAAACGCACATCTATTAAAAGTATTATAAGGGTATTAAAAACAATGTTGTATAAAGCGTCAAAGCGTTTGTCATTTTGAGCTGTGTTTAACTCGTATTCTATGTGGTATACCTACTGCATTCTCTTGGGAATAAAAGTTACATTCTCATTTTCCATCTTTTGTATATTTACTGAATAAAATCAAATGTTCACGTTATTCAAATACAATTATAATTAAAATATCATTATCGCTCGTTACTCGTACATGCATTCGTAATTTACATAGGTAAGTAATAACAAAGGTGTTTTTAAAACAAGGTTCTCTGTTTCATATAAAAGTTCATTGCCCTTTTACATTAAAACATCATACATATATATATAAAATATTAGTATTTCTAATGAATAATTGGGAAAAATTAATAAAAAAAAAATTATCTGCACATAATTTTTTATTTATTTGTTTTATTTATTTTTTTTTTGTTTTTTGGAATAAACACTACTTTTTTGGTCTGAGTTTTGAGACTTGCTTACACATACATACATACATATAAGTACAGATAATATTCATTTATATTACACGGCAAGAAAAAAAATGGTTTCACTTACATTTATGGAACATATTCTCATTTGCGTAATACTCGTATAATATTTGGGTTATTATGGTTTGAAAACATTATTTTTTTTATCAAGTTCATTTCTTTAACTGCTAATGTTTGTAGTTTGTAATTACAAAATTGTTTTGTGTGTGAGTGGTAAACGCATACATTTTATAAAATGTACATTTTTAAAAAAGGAAGAAAACTTTATTCTATTTGCTATATCAATACTTAAGAATTCGTCATGATCTTTAGGTAAACAGGGGTGGCGACTATGCATAGTAGTTACTAAATGTAATGACTATCATGGTGATTATTGGAAAACATAATCATTTTTCTTTTACTATTTCCTCTTAATTGTGTTAAATGTGTCTATTGTTGATTATGCTTATTTTTTAAATGTTGGTAATAATTACTTCAACTTTGCGGTAATTTACTTACTCTTTTGGTGCTTAAATAATTTTTAGTATTAAAAAGCTGCAAATAAGTATTTTTTTGAGTTGAGTAAAATAAATGAGCTAAATGATTTTGCGACATTTTGTTTAAAACATCGAAATTATTTAAGGTTATGTTTTATATATATATCTAAGTTTTCATTTGGTCGTGTTGTGGAAACTATTTTGATTTAATTTAAACTTTTTTATTCCTACATATGAACATGATTTCCTTTCAGTTTGCTTTTGTGTGCTTTTAAAACCAAAAATTTTAATAATTCGAATTAAAATTCAATAATTTGCCTAAAATTCGATTTTGTTTGGGCCGAAACATTTTCCTCATAAAAATATTAGGTACTAAATCAAATTGTTAACTGTTTATATTTTCATTTTAATCCATATTTATCCAAAAGTTTTTTTTTATTATAAATATATAAAAATGCATTATTTTTCCTAAATTTATTCTTTATATGCAACACGTTTCCATTGGTGTGCGTGAAATGGGGAGGAGTAAAAATGATTATATGAAAAAATAAAAAACATAAGAATTATAAATAAAAAAGTGTAAACAAAAATTTGAAAAAGTAAATAAATAGAATTTAATAAATAAATGAGAAAGAAAATGTGCTAAAAATAATTATATGATTCAATACAAAGAAACGAAATAATGATCAAATAAATAGAAAAGTTGTTTCTAAAGAAAAATTATGTTTAAGAAGGCACTTTATAAATCCATAAATATATAATTGTTTCAAAATTATGCAATAAACTTAAAAAAAAAATTACAAAGTTCAAATTTTATCTTAAATATTATTGACAAAAAAGTAAATATAATTTAATTTTTCATTTTTTAAACACTTTTTCTCAATTAATTAATTTCAAAATCATTCACCTCATTTCATTATCACGCACAGAGTTGCATAAAAATCAGTCTAAAATTTTGCATTCCAATATAATTTTTTTTTTTAATTTTAATTTTGCTTATTTTTTCTTAGCAATTTTTGGTTTCTAAATTTCGCTAAAATTCCACATGTGTATAAATAGTAAATTTTGTCGTTCACGCTTGGCTCTTCATTACTTTAATAATATATAATAATAATTAATTTATATTCTTTTCCCATAATTTTTAATTTTTTTTTTGGTATTCACTTTTACATTTTTGAATTTTATTCCGAAAGGCATTTGTTGCAATTTTGCTTTTAATAATTTTTACTTTTGAATTTTTTTTTATTAAAAGGTCCTAAACTTTAAATTTTGTAATTTTGTAGTTTTTTTTTATGTCTAAAAATAATTTTTAATATAAGGAATCACATATTTTTGAAGAATTTTGTTGCATCCAAAATTTTTGTATTAATTTTGTACAATTTCTTTTTTTTATAAAACGATAAATTAATTTATTAAATAATTATTTTTTTTTCAAACTGAATTGGGCACACTTTTTGCTTTTGTTATCTTTACAATTTTTTGTTCTTATTTTTAATATTTGTATTTGTATTTTATTTTTAAATTTTCTTTACGTTTTTGTTTAGTATTTTGTGTGTATTTTCGTAAAACCGCATCCTTTTTTATTGGAATGTACTTAATTAGGGAATACTGTACAGTAAAATACATACACACATTGCCATGTGAAAGAACTAATTACTTAATATTTAAGAGATCTCTGCATAGGAGTGAGTGAAACAGGCTACATAGTTGGATATTAATTGCTGAGTATGTGTGTTTGCATACAAAAATCTCGTAATTTTTCATTTTATGTTTTTGCTTTTTTTTTTTTGAAATAAAACATTAGGGGTGTTCGTGCAGAGGTTCATTCATAATTGTTCTGTGAAAACTTATTGAATATTTTTCAATATGATTTTTTTTTTAATTTCAAATGCGGGCTTAATATCCTTTACACGCTTATTCTCACCTGCTTTGAAGTATCAAAACTCTCTATTTCAATGCCATTGCATGAACACCCCTATTGTAGGTACAATTTTTACACAAACTTAGTATTATAATCATATATTTATTTTCTATTTTTTATTTAAAGTAATGTTATATGTGTATGTATATATATATATATATATATATTATTTTTAATTCTTTTTTATTAGGAAGCATAGTTTTTTCTTAAAACTTCTTAAATCAATCTTATTACCTTAAATTATAAATAGATTTACATAGAATTATAATAAATTAAATTAATTAATAATAAACTTCATTCTTTCTAAACTTTCTTCCAATCTTTCTCTTCATCACGAAAACAAGTTTTTCACTTATTTTTTAATTTAAATTCTTTTAATATTCTCAATTGCAACTCTGCATATTTTTTTTATAAAAAGATTTCCTTGAAACAAGTGTGATTAATCTAGCGTTTAAGGAAATCCTATGACTAACTTTGCATTGTCCGAATGGATTATTTAAGGAGGTTAAAAATTTTAGCTCGCTCTCTTCTTGATACTCCCAAACGGTAAAATACCCTTTTTTCTGGCTGAAGCTTTTTCATCTGTTCGGCTGACATTACCTAGTCAGAGAAGCCCCGGACTGCCAATTCTCTGAGCTAGGTCAATAGCTCGTATATCACATTAATTTCAGCGCTCCGTTCCCTATACGAAGAGGGCAATAAATCTTCCACAAAAACTTTCTCTCGGAGACTCTCAAAGCCGACTTATAGGATACTCATGCTTCTGCATAATAAAATAGGAGGGGAATAATGAGCGGCTTGTAGAGTTTGGTCGTTGTTTGTTGAGAGGATATGGTTGTGTAAGTTAGCACAGCCGCATTAGTTTTGCGGTGGTTCCAAAGCCAGATTTGGTGGTATAGAGGTAGGTTCTTTTCGGGCTATCGAAGGCAACTTTAAAATCGATAAAGAGATGGTATATCCGGTCACATTAATGAGACAGGACCTTTCACTCAAAATGCCAGACTGGACCTTATATGGGATATTGAGAGGACTATTTCCACGATAATTGAAGCAGACTGCGGGCTCTCTTTCCAGCAGATTGGGCAGAGCATGCACTGGTTACATTTTTAGATAGTGTTAAAATTTTACTTTTCCTGCAAAACAGTAAGTTAGTCTTTTTCGACATCTCTAGTAAGAAGACAGTTGATAAAATCTTAGCAGATCTGTCGAAATACTCAAATTTCCTTTCTTTCCAGAACTAAATCCGCTTAATTAATCCGATGAAGGTATCTATACAGATCACCTAGTGTAAGCTCGAAGACTTTGTGACTTCACTAACTCAGAAAAGTAAAGAATACCGAATTGGGCTCTAGAAATTAAAATTTTTTTCAGTTCATATCCGCAGACCAGACTCTAAGTCAATGCACGGTCAATGAATGAGCTCTGATAGAGAAAATACTTTTGGGACAAATGATCTACTAACTAAGAAAAAATTGCATCCCCGTCTAAACTTTCCCTGTAAAATATTCAAGTAAATTATACTTCAAAAAGTACACTATAACATCTTAGGATAGGTTGGATAAATGTTTCCTTATTCGCTACTTGTTGTGATGGGTTCGATTTTTATATTACTGGAACTTATGTTACCGCTCGTTGCACTGGAAGTTATACTAACATCCGCGTGACTGCCGGACGTCATGGCCGATGTCGTTACTGTGCTGGTTCTGCTAACGATGGTCGAGGTCGCTGCCGTATCTGGTGGAGAATCCTCACTTGCGCCCACCAAGGCTGCGAGGTCCTCGGAGAAGAGACGTGTCGGTGAATAAGCACTACTTCGCGAGGTTTTAAAGCCCATATCTAAGCCCAGCTCGGTAAGCGTTGAGTGTAAATGTGAATCGACGCTTGGACTGGGGCGTTGGTGTTCAAGTAGAGATGAGGGTGATGGACATTTCATTTTAGATGCCGTGCCGCCAAGGTTGACTGACTGATGGTGTTGCTGCTGGTGTTGTTGCTTTTGGTGTTGCTGTTGGTGCTGATGTTGTTGCTGATGCTGATGCTGTTGCTGATGCTGTTGTTGTTGCTGCTGATTTTGCGCCTGTTGGTGCTGGTGCTGATGTTGTTGTGGCTGATAAAGATGGCTGGAAGATGAGGTTGAGGTGGCGGTAGCAGTGGGGCCACCATGATGTGACATGGAACTAACACCGTAACCAAGAGGATGCTGTTGTTGCTGCTGCTGATGCTGCTGCTGTTGATGCTGCTGTTGTTGTAACGCCTGCTGTTGCTGCATGTGCAGATGTTGCAACTGATGCTGTTGTTGCTGGCTGAGTACAGCGGTTGGATCACAACGACCCATATGCAAAGCCATCGCCATGCTGGGCGGTAAGTTAGGCGGGAGACCCGGCAGGCCAGGACCACAGGGCGATGGAGCATGTCGTGGGCCTAACATTGCGCCGGCACCGGGATTCGATGTAGTGCTGAGAGCAGGAGAAATACTCGTTTTTGGTAGTGGCACTGAACCGTGCACACCGGATGCGGATCCCGCAGGTCCAGAAGCAGCTGCAGCGGCTAAGTGTGGCTGTAAATGCGGTGGTATATTAAACAAACCAGCACCACCAGGGCCCTCCGACGGATGTTGATGTTGTACGGCGGCAGCCAACTGCATTTGCTGACGTATATTGTGGGCCACAGCAGCCACGGCAGCAGCTGTGGCCTCTTGTGACATCTGATCACCAGCCGGTGTGGGTACACCATTCGGACAAGGACCACCCATGCCGGGGTAGTTTAATGGACCATCCTGAAATGGAAACATGGGCTAGAAATACAGCGGCAATTAGTAATGCTGCGGTTGGTATCAGCAAAACTGATTAAAGTAAAAAACTTACCGAATGCCGACCATATGGCAAATGTGGCACCAAACTATCATCCTTCAGTTCCTTTGCATCGCGGAAGACCACCGTCTTAATGACACCCTTAATATGTTCATCGGGCCAAATGCCGAGTAGTATACGTTGTGGCCGACCACGTCCCTTCGGACGCAAATCTGGCCCACCATCTATGGACGGACCGAGCATGTTGTGCACACGATTAGCATACAGTACGAAGGTTGGGTAGGGTATGTCGTATTTGCGTGCTGCTTGCGATAGTGAGAGACCCTCTTTGAGTACACTGAATATGGCTTCGGCCATTGTTTCGGGTCGCCACGATTTAAGGGGACCACGTTCTCGGAAACGCAGGTGATGCATGAGACTTTGATTGGTATTCCAACATTTCTGCCACATCGATTGCAACTGATACTGGTAGCTGTCTGCTGAAAGAAATACAATCAGAATTCACCATCCTTTAGTGCCAAAACTATCTCGTAAAAATATTTCATACAAACCTGCAATTGTCGAAGAGCTTGAGGGGCCCATCCAAGCATGTGAGTTCTCCAGCATTTTGGCCTGCAAGAAATAAAGATAACTTTAAATTACTAACTCATTTACAAAAGAAAATTAGAGAAAATGCGGATTTAATCAATAGAAAATGATAGTCTCCTCGGGACGATACTTTTTTTTAAGTGTCTTGGGATTTTGTCCAAGAAAATATTTATGTACTTCAAATTTAAAGTCGCTTATATATCTCTGCCGTCCAAGGAAATATGTTTAACAAAGATACGCTCTTATGGATTCCGATTGGATTAGATGGCCTGATGGGGCATTCTGCAGCCTAGACTAAATGTTGCTTATACTAAATGTTGCCTTGACTAAATGCTGCTTAGGCTCTTGACTAAATGTTGCTTAGACTAAATGTTGCCTAGACTCTTGACTAAATGTTGCTTAGACTAAATGTTGCTTAGACTAAATGTTGCTTAGACTAAATGTTGCTTAGACTAAATGTTGCTTAGACTAAATGTTGCTTGGCTCTTGACTAAATGTTGCTTAGACTAAATGTTGCCTAGACTCTTGACTAAATGTTGCTTAGACTAAATGTTGCTTAGACTAAATGTTGCTTAGACTAAATGTTGCTTAGACTAAATGTTGCTTAGACTAAATGTTGCTTAGACAAAATGTTGCCTTGACTAAATGTTGCTTAGGCTAAATGTTGCTTAGACAAAATGTTGTTGCTTAGACAAAATGTTGCTTAGATCAAATGTTGCTTAGACGATATGTTGCTAAATTAAAATATTGCCTAGAAAAAATATTGCTTGCACAAAATGCTGCTGATATGAATGATGCTCAGTCAAGATGCTAGTAAGACAAAATATTTCTTAAGCCAAATGTTGCTAGGCGAAACAATTTTAGTATAAAAATAAATTGCTGTAGTAAACACATAAAAACATAAAATTGGAAAATAGAAAAACGTTTCTAAGCACAAAATCCTGCTAAATGTTGCTAAGAATTTTTGAGGAAAAAAACCTTACCTAATGAATGGCTTCAAATAGATCATAAAAAATAGTAAAATGTTAACAAAATATTTGTAAATAATTTGTGCTGCGAAATGTTGCAGAAAAGGAGATAAGTTTACTAACAAAAAAATAAAAATAAAATAAAAAAAATAAACAAAAAAATAATAAAAACAGTTTAAGAAAAAAGAATTCATAAAATTAACAAACAAATTTTAAGACAAATATTAAAAAGTGTTACAAAGAGTAATGAAAAAAAATATAAATAAAAAAATTAGTAATATATATTATTGTTGTACACATAATTTTGATAAAAAAAAAGCTTTAAAAGTTGCCGAATTCAGAAATAATTTATTGTTTTACTCCTATGGTCTGAATATATTTGTGTGTGTATATATTTCGCAAATGTGTATTTGTATGTAAGTTTGTATGTATGTTTGTATGTATATATCCATATATACGTGTATATATGCATCCTTATTTATTATCGTCAGTTGTTAGTGAGTGCTTTGTCACACTTTTTCAACATTCATTGACTTGTTAAAATCGACCTATATGCATATCCACACACATACACACACACACACACATAAATATAAGCAAATATGTTTGCATGCATGTATGAGTATGTTAATAAACAAATACAGCAAATATATGCAACTTAAATTGAATGTTCGAGTGTATTTGATTGCACATAACCCTTTAGCGACGAGTCGTTTGCGCAGACAAACCTTAACAAGTTACCCCAGTTCTTGTATGTAGCATATAAGAAAAAAACAATAACATCGAAAAAATAAAAAAATAAAAAAAAAATAGAAGAAAAAATCGCTGAGGTGCAACGCTCTCGTTAAAAATACAGTAAACGTTTGCCATGACAGGAGGAGAGCAGGTGAGCATGTGTGTATGTATGCACAAGTAGGCACCAGCACACATCGATACACAGCGATATATCACTGTAGCAGCAACAAAAACAATGAATATGAATGACTTTACTGTTGCAATAAAAGATTCTACTCAAGTTTTAACTAAATCGACTAATTGCATAACAAAGTAACAGTTTGCCCAAGTGTATGTATGTCTGTGTGTGTGTGTGTGTGTGTTTGTGTATATATGAGAGCACTTGCGAGCGTCTAGGCCCATTGGGGTTTTCAATATATTCATTTTTCAAGTAGGCACAAAGCCCACACTGGTGGCTGAATGTGTAATTTGCAATTTCACTTAAACATTTAGCATAAAAAATACATACAAAAGTTTTCTAGTGTTGCACAATTAAACCAAGCATACATACATATTTAATTACATACACGTATGTGGCAAGGTTTGTGTGTTGTTTGAACATTTGAATTGTTATTGCACTGTGTTTTTTTTTTTTTTTTTTTTTTTTTTTTTACCAAGCCATACATATTTACATATGCATGATTATGACGTCTCGTGTTACGCCCCCATCACTTACAGCATGAAATAGCGGAAGTGGTGAACACAGAAAAAAACAGCTCGAAAATTTGCAAAAAAAAAAAAACAAAAAAAAGAGAGAGAAATGCAAAGTGGTCGCCTTCGTCTACCAACCACAACGGCTGGCATAGTTCAAGAAGTTATCGAGAGCTGGCACCTCTTCAAATGTTATTTACATATTAGCAAATAAAATTGCTACTTACAAGTGCATACCTGCATACATATACATATATTTATATGTATGTATATGTATGTATATGTGTGTATACGCTAAACACATACAGATAAATAAATATGCATGAATGTAACAATTACTACAAATACATATATTAATATCTATTACAAAGCTACCATTTCAGCTGAGTACAATTGTACATATCTACACATGTATATAAACATTTATGCATTTTCAGCCTAATAGCGGATATGTATATGTACATACATATGTACATTCAAGCAGATTTAAGACAATACAAAATTCGCTGCATTTTAAATAATTGCTTCATTATACTACTTGTATGTATATCATCATCACAGTGATTGTGCTCGGTTGGTATATATTGTAATAAATATCAGTTTACTTGTGTGTGCTTCACTTAGAAGCAAAATAAAAAACATTGCAAAATAATTACTCATACGCCTAGTGGCCACCGAATATGTATGAGTGTAAAAGATACGAAAAGCGGAAGTTGCAAAGCAGTTTTTATGTTCTGTTGTTGAAATTTGTGTGACATCACCCTGTTGGGAAGTCCGCTGAATATACTTTTATGTGTCATCGTATGCAAAAATGGAAAAAAGATGACCAGAATAAACTGACTTTTCGAAAATTTGCATTCAGAAAGTAACGGAAAATATGAATTTTGAAAGATTGTACGTAGTAAAAATAGGTATTTTCGGTGAATTTAAGCAGAGAAAACGTAATTTAAATTAATTACTAGACTCTTAGTACACACTATCAGGCCTATTCTCACTGTTACCGGTAAAGTAAATTTTGTTATTTTTTTTTAACACTCGAAATTGAATTTGGTATTCCAGAGTGCAGGTTGGTAAAGTAAAAAAGAAGAGTATCCACATCGAAATATAAGACGGTGTGCAAGAATATAAATAAGTTTTATTAATTTGTTTATTAAGTCATAAATAATTGAGCTTAATTATGGAATATATGCCAGGATGACAAAAAAAGCTGAATGAAAACGCTATATTCCAAATTAAAAGGGTAATTTTTTCCCCACAAACTTCTTAAAAAAACACCTTTTTACATTTTTTTTCTTCATTTTCAATGAATTCCAGATGTAAAATATGCCTACACATTGTGGTTTTTACTTTTTCCCAAAGTAACAACACGAAAAAAAACATTTTTAGAGTGATAGTGACCTCAGGATACGAAAGAGTAAAAAAAAAAATGGTAAATTTTATTACCACGACAGAATAGGCCTGTTTAAGTGCTGCTGAGCTTAATTTTCATGAAAAAATATTTTATGTAAAAACTATAGATTTCTCCCGCGAATTCACCCTCATGTATTTTGCAAATGGACCTGATAAGATTTTTAGTTGATTTTTATACCTTTCCGATACATGAAATGGTATACTGACTTTGGTCCGCAGTATGTAAGTACCAGAAGAAGTAGAGATAGACCCAGGAGAATTGACACCGATCGGTTCAGAATAACGAGTTAAGTGGTTATATCCACTTGCAATTTTCAAAGAATCTGTTCTTTTTTTTTAATTATTCGAATGCACATATATTTGAGAATATTTTCCGAAAATCTGAAGTTGAACCGACAAACAGTCTCGGAGATAAGATCGTATCATTAAAGACATCCCGTGGCGCGCGAAAACAGGTGAAGCGCTAGGTTGTCTGTCTCTTTAACGCCAGGCCTTTTTAAATGATTTTCAATACAGTCAGACTTTAAATGTGTGTTTCTCTAAACGCTGTTTTCAGAGTCGGTGCGGAAAATTTCTCTGAAGCGGCTGACCAGTTCGGCATACAATTTTCACACGAGCTTCTCAGATATATTTGTTAGGCAATGCTTGAAAGAAAAAAATTATTGACAATAAATTCGATTTTTTAAGCCACTTTGAAGTGTAGAATTTTTCACAAAAAATGATTTTTGTTTTTCGGGTTTCAGATAATTTGAAGCAGAAATATCTTCCTCAACGGCAGGCACCTTTTTTTTGGAGCCCATTTTGAAGATCGGCTATAGAACAAGAAGGATGCAATATTTTTTAAAATGAATCGTTTATTTTAAACTACATTAAATTCTGTCCATTGACATTTCTTCTATTAATTTATAGAATAAAATGCCTCACGATAAGAAAATGAGCAAAGAAAAGCAATTATTTTTTTTTTTTGCAAGTGTATGTAACCGCTGATATGAGGATTTGGGTCAAAACTTTGACAACAAAGCATCCATTAGCATACAAATTTGGTATTCTACACTCATAAGTTCAAATAAATATTCACTTTGAAAATTATAGAAATCATATTTTGAATTTTTCAACAAATTTGCCAAGTTCATGAAAGGTATAAAAAATTCGGCAATGCCGAAGGCAGCTTCCCACAGCTACAAGTCTCTCCGCAGTCTACTTCTGTTACCTTGGGATCAA